TCTAGTATAACTAAATACCTCACTTTCATTGTACAGTATATGTTCAATTACAATTAGTACTATTTTTCCCCAATAAATCATAGTTCCCTTACATTCTTGATTATCTATTTGATAACAGTATACCTTTATATAATCCCCATGTGAACGAATTTTTTTTTTACCAACCATTTATATTTATATATCACTATTTTCCATTATACATAATTTGCTAAATTAACAAGACATTGTTGTGTTCCCTTTCACCATTTTATACCGTTGCGGGAGGTTTTGCGAAAGCTTGAAGAAAACGGAAAGAACTTCAAATCAATAATTCAGAATCCCCAAAATAATAAAAGAAGGGTAAGCAAAGGAATGTTTTGCATATACTCCCGTGTACACAGAAGTTACATAAATCTTACCTTATACACTTGTCCGTAAGTCCCATTGCCAACCAGTTCAACCAGTTCAAAGATGCCTGCAGGATCCTGAGAAAAAGAAAACACGAGAAAATTAAAGAGAGCCCAAACCAGACATTTTAACCAAATCCAAACAATGCTTCCTAAGAGCACTATTCACACATGGGGTTTCTGATTTATTTTGGTTGCATTCTGAAATGGAGACCGCTTTAAAAAAACAAAGAAGGCCCTGCTTCATTTTCAATGGTTTTAGGATACTTGAATTCTCTTTCCCAATAAGGTACATGTGAAGTTTTGGATGGCTTGTAACTGAGACGTGCTATCATACCCTGATTGCCACTGACTCTCACAAAATTTAAGCAAAATATTCACACAAACACACAACGTCAGTCGATCAAATTCACAGCCGAATCCAAATCTCTTTTCCAAACAAAATTGCAATGTAAAGTTCAAAAATCAACAAAGTCTGTTGGGTGGGGGATCCATTTTGGCTCTGTTCATCTCAAATTGGTCAGGTTGACTAGGTCCGTGATGGCGAACCGTTGCCCCAGCCCAGCTCCACCATGCATGCGCATATGGCTCCCACCAGCCAACTAGTGTTTAGGTCACTGTTGCACATACATGAAGGGCAGGGCGCATGCGGCAGAGGTGGGTTGCTACCGAACCAGTAGTGGAATTCAGGCCTGGGTCACAGAACCGGCAGCGGCCCAGGCCTGCCATGCCCCCAACCCATTCCCTCGCCTCCGCTGGGCCGCCACCATTTTGTTTTTCGTGACTGCGCATGCACAGTTCACTGTAAACTGTTCTGTGCATGCACAAAGAACAATTTATATTGAACAGTGCACATGCACGAGTGACGCAAGGACGCAAACGCGTTGCACACGGATTGCAAACTGGTATTAAAACCAGCCGCAACCCACCCCTGGCATGCAGGGGATGCCTGCATGCATGCATGAGAGATGGGATGCAGGGATGCTCACCAGGTTGGTGCAGGAGGCTTTCCAGGCCCAAAACGGGCCATAGGGAGCATGCCCCCCCACACACTCTGTTTTGGCTTCCAAGTTAGTGCAGGAGGCATTTTCGGCATGGAACAACTAAAAGATTAGCCAACACTGGCCTAGGTAATTGTAAGAAAAAGAATGATTGCCTTGATAATGTATAGAAGACAAGGACAGCCACTAGCACAGAGATAAAGTTAATACCCAAACCAATGTCTTAAACGCGCCATTTCACACCAGTTTAGAGGGCAAAGAAGATTTCTCAAGATGGGAATGGTCAAAACACTTTGGCATAAAGATCTTATGAGTGCCCATTTGAAGGATATTTCTATCTGGTCAAGGAAGACTAAAGTACATCAGAGAAAATGGAAACGGAAGTAAAATATTTCTAGGTTTGTTTTTTTTCCCATCACAGCAGTGAGTTCCTATTTTCAGACACTGAATGAGAGAGAAAGTAAGTACAAGGTAAAGAATAAAAATAACAAAGCAACTATTGTTTGTCAAGCTGCAGATTATTCAGCTGCATGCAGCAAAATGTATAAGACTTGCTTTTTAAAAGACCACTGCAGCCAATAAATGTGTTTAAGTATGTCCATCATTAAAAGCAAAATCCAGGGAAATTGTTGGCCGTAAGCAACTGCATTCTTGATAATTGCACTGTTTAATTAAGTAGGTAACAAACACAAAAAGTGAAAACAAAGAAAAGGGAAAGGAACACATAAACATATATAAAAGAAATTTTACAGTAAAGTGGAGGCTGAACTGAAAATATCACTGTAAGAACAACAAAAGACAAAAAGAAAAAAAACTAAAAACATGAGAAAAAACATTCAAGTACCCCCTCTTTTTTGCAATCAACTACATATTCAAAAAATGAGGTTGAATAAAGGATTGGCTCAAATGCAAATAGAATTCAGGATTTCTAACAGCTTTAATAGCAAAATATGGACTCACAACAGGAGGCTGTTGCTAGGAGTCATTCTGCATGGACTCCAATTTACAGCTGTAAGTGCAAAATGAGCCAGTTTTGTTGACCCAGACAGCTAACAAGGAGAACTAGCGTTGGGGAAAAACAGAAGAGATTTCCATACATATAGCAAATCTCTGAGACAGACATTTGCAAAACAATACATTTCAGTGACATGGAATTACAAAAAGGTCCATTTTCCTCCAACCTGTACTAAAACACCTGGCCATTTTAGATGTCATCCATCCGTTTTTCAGAAGTCACAATTTATGCACGCCTTGTAGGGACTTGAGTAATGGACTGTACCATCTTCTGCATCTGCTAATAGCCATTTAAGCAAAAATCCATAACATCGTCCAGGTCTCCTCCAAATTGGCACCTTCCAGATAGGTATCTGCAAATTATTGCAGTAAGGCTGCTTGGATCTAACCGAGTGAGCATTTATTCACTGCCATATTTAACAAAAGGGACATGATGGCTCAGTGGCTAAGACACTGAGCTTGTCGATCAGAAAGGTTGGCACTTCAGAGGTTCGAATCCCTAGCGCCTGTAATGGAGTGAGCTCCCGTTACTTGTCTCAGCCAATCTAGCAGTTCTAAAGCATGTAAAAATGCAAGTAGAAAAATAGGAACCACCTTTGGTGGGAAGGTAACAGCATTCCGTGTGCCTTTGGCGTTTAGTCATACCAGCCACATGACCACGGAGATGTCTTCGGACAGCGCTGGTTCTTTGGCTTTGAAACGGAATGAGGACCGCCCCCTAGAGTCGAGAACGACTAGCACATATGTGTGAGGGGAACCATTATATCCAACAAAAAGCGTATGACATATACACGGAGCAGCTTCATACTTGGTTAGGAAATCAAATTACTCTTGTCAAAGTCCAGCTTAGGCCTGGTTTTTCCTGCCTAGGCAGTGGGTTGGACTAGAAGACCTCCAAGGTCCCTTCCAACTCTGTTATTCTATTCTGGTTTGTTCACAGATTATGATATCCAAGGTTTATGGAATAAATCACAGAAAACTGAGTTCCACGTCACATTAGATGCCAATGTTCGCAATTTGGAGAGTGTTTTTTCTGTAGTGTAATGTGCATCATTTTGGTTCATAAGTGATTAATAATTCAGTGTTATATCTGAATCCAGATTTGATCAACAAACCATAATTAAACAATATAAATCTAGTTAAAAATAGGACTGATCTCCAGTGATCCTGCAATTCATCACTGTTATGTACCACTGGAAGAAAAGAATGGTCTAAGGTAGTGTTTCTCACAGAGCCCTCATCAGAGCCTTCCCCAGAGTCCAGGACTTTCCCATGTTCCTCCCCAACCTCTTCACTGTCTGAATCTGCTGCCAACTGTGCTGGCCACTGGAGGGCCACAACACCCCTTCTTTATGGAACATCATTGCCCCACAACAGAGGTGGGTTCCTACCGGTTCGGACCGATTCAGCCAAATAGGTAATAACTTGGCCTGCCATGGTCCCAAACTGGTTCTCTCGGCAGTCCCATTAGCGCTGCCATCTTGTTTTTTACTTCTACGTATGCGCAGAAGCATTTCTTTATTACTGTGCATGCGCACAAAGTGCATATCAAGCATGTGTGCCCCCCTGAGCAAACCGGCAGTAGCAGTAGCTGGAACCCACACCTGCCCCAAGGTATGATTGCCCTCCACCATGTGAAAGATAACAACTCTTCTCGCACCCTTTAATTCCACTCATTCATAAGATGCACGGAGTCATTTATTTTATTTTTTTTGTTCTATATATACAGCAATCCATTCTTGCACACACTTTGATAAAATGCAGATTCGAATCCTTTCTTCTACCCTAAAAGAAATGGAAGGAAAGAATCTTCTTATTGCATCTTTCAAAGGGGTATAAAGGGAGAGGAAAAAGATATTGGAAGAAGCATTCCTCATCAAAGTGAACTCATTACAATTAACTAGCCCCCTCTTCAAAGTAATAATAGTGAGAGCTCTTTACGGCTTACCAATCTAGATATCCACATTCCTGTCTGTTCATAGTTGTTTTGAGTAACTCAAATGATGCCAGATATAAATTGCTTAATGCTATAAACTTGAATAACTAGGAAGAGCGGAAGAACAAAATTAGACACAGAAGAAGGCAAATAAGAAACACTTTCTGACGTTTTGGAATCAAAATATGAGAAATCGTTTAATGGAAGCTTTAAATTATTCAGGATAGGTTTCAATGGTGACCTGATGCAAAATACTGTAAAATCCCTGATCACATATAATCACTTTTATAGATAATGAGTCATGGGACTTTTGCTGCTAATACAAATCCTTTGTTTCCACTTAACAAACGTTTCCTTTCACCGCCACCCATCCCAATAAATCTCGTGTGTCAGACACGAACTGGAGGGCCTTCTATTACTTTTCCTTCCTAAAACTTTTATTTATTTCTTCCTTCTCCACAAGGCTTCCAGAGGTGAAATATGAAACATCACCGCAGGAGCAAAAGCCTCAACAGGCAGTATTTGTAATGAAAAAGGTGAAGAGGCAGCTTCTGCACCATCAAATGGTTTGCAATGTCTCTTCCTTGCACAGTTCTGAAAGTTTTTCACGACATCCACCTCTCGTCTCCTGAACCTCCATTCTCACCCACAGTAAGCTAAGCGTGTACAATATCTATGGAGACCACAAGGCTTTTATATCCAGTTATATGGCACAGGTCCATGCATGCATAGGAAATGAAAAGGGCTAGGGATGATAGCAGTGTCCCAATATCTCTGGGGCTTCCACAAAGAGGAGGGAGTCAAGCTATTCTCCAAAGCACCCGAGGGCAGGACAAGAAGCAATAGATGGAGCTAATGAAGGAGAGGAGCAACCTAGAACTAAGGAGAAATTTCCTGACAGAACAATTAATCAGTGGAACAACTTGCCTCCAGAAGTTGTGGGTGCTCCAACACTGGAAGTTTTTAAGATGAGATTGGATATGCATTTGTCTGAAATGGTAGAGGGTTTCCTGCCTAAGCAGGGGGTTGGACTAGAAGACCTCCAAGATCCCTTCCAACTCTGTCGTTCCCCACTTCCAGCATTAACAGTACATTAACGCTGGGTTATCAGCTAGTAAATGAATAAACAAAAAGATTTCTGTCCATTATTCTGTGTCCTTCTGGCATGACAGAGAGCAAGTGACCTTCTTCGATGTGCTACCCTTCGAGGCATGTCACACTTGCTCATATTTTTGCCCATGAATGATTGCTAGGTGTACAAAGCCTCTGAGCACAACTCATGGCACAAGTCAAATTACAGAACTAATGATCTTGATACTTTCAGAGCTGAGGAAAGCAGCCATTCCCTTTAGCCCTTCAAATGTTAAATGCAAGTTGACATCAGTAACATTTAGTGGACTTCGTTCACCATCTCGAGAATGACTTGAGCTACAAGTTCATGACTGAATTGCCTGGCCTCATTGGCAACTTTTCTCTTTGTGGGTTCTTTTCTGACAAGGGTCCTGGAATATTTTTGCCTAGCTGGTGTAAGTTAAAAAAAAATGGTATTTTCCCTTCATGAATCACAATAGCTATGCCATTTTCTTTTAATGCTGTAATAATTCAGAACTGAGCATTCAGTGCAATTTTGCTGAAAATGTTTTCGGGGGCATCCTGCCATTGCAATGGCTTTGCCCTCTGCATCAGACGCCTCAACACTGGAACTAAAGAATAGGCACCTGTTACTATGCAGCAAGATTTCATTAAGCGGCTTGAAAAAGCCAATTTGTTCACCCAGTGGTTCATTAAATAATAACTCAAAGGGGCTCCTGGATGGACAATAGAGACTGAATCCTGAACTAAGTACAGTGCCAAAAATTGCAGATGTTGTCCCAATGAAAAATTGTTATTATTGAATTAAAAAGAACAGACGGCAATCTTCCCCTATATGCGCTCCAATAAATTAATATGCTCAACATGGCACAAGTGCACATAAATAAATGGAACACATTTGTAATATCAAACATTTTATTTTAATTCCCAAACATACCCACCTACATATCATGTTTAAATCCACCCTATTTCTTCCCATTTTGGTAAACATCCGTATTGTCTGTTCATCTCCAGGGAAAATTATCTCATATTCAGATAGTCCCCTACTTACAATAGTCTATTTAGTAACCATTCGAAGTTGCGACGGCACTAGAAAAAAAAGGCTTATGACCGTTTTTCACACTTATGGCCATTGCAACATCCTCATGGTCACATAATGAAAACCCAAGACGCTTGGCAACTGACTCATATTTATGACGTGGCAGTGTCCTGGGTCATGGGATCCCTTTTTGCAACCTTCTGACAAGCAAAGTCAACGGGGAAACCAGATTCACTTAACAACTTTGCTATCAATTTAACAATTGCAGTGACTCGCTTAGCAATTATGGCAAGAAAGGTTGTAAAATTTAATGGGACAAAATTCACTTAACAAATATCTCACTTACCAACAAAATATTTGGCCTCAAGTCAAGTCACTACCTCCTGTATTCTTCCAAAGAGCGTTCTGATTAATTGCACATTTAAAGTTCTGTCACCTTATCTATCTACAGCTTTTTTGCTACAACCAGAAATGGAAAGTGGATTTTTCATTTATATGTGTTTCCTTCTAATATTTCTTTATTATTATTAATTAATTTGTTCTGCATTTTATTCTTGTTAATCACTCTGAACACCCGCATATCTCAATCAAACTCAATAGCAACAAGATATTACAGCACTGCTCTGCAGGTGTGTACGTATATGATTTGTTTGTTAAATTTATTTGCTGCCTGCCTACCTACCTTGTCTAGGCCAGGGCTCTCCAATCTTGGCAACTTTAAGGCTTGTGGACTTCAACTCCCAGAATTCCTCAGCTAGCAAAGCAAAGCTGGCTGAAGAACTCTGGGAGTTGAAGTCCACAAGTCTTAAAGTTGCCAAGGTTGGAGACCCCTGGTCTAGGCGGCTTACAAATAATAGGTAATACTGTCAGACAAGCAAACAAAGCAATTTGTGAGAGAAAGAAGGAAGACCAGTTCATGAAAGTGTATAAACTAAGTCTTTGGTCTACCACTCTCATAGGTAATGGCCAGAGGTTTTTCCAGATATCAATGTTGGAAGGGGGAAGCCAAGGTCGTCTTTGACTTAAGACTACTTATTGTAGTCTTTGTCATTGTAATGCAGAATTACATTACAATTGTAATTGTAATGGAGTGCAGAATTTTCATCGTAAGTCATGACAAGGCGTAAGTCAAGGAATCCATGTGACTAACCCAATTTTACGACTTCTTTTCTGGGGTCATTAAGTGAATGTGGCGCTTGGATGATGAACACGGCAGTTATAAAGCAAACATGGCTTTAAAGCAAATACAACTGTAAAACTAATCAATGTTTCTTTGTTTTTTGCAAGAACTGGCTGAAAAGGCCCCAAAACGGGGAAAAACATAATTCTCAGCCACATGGCTGTGGAAGGCTGCAGCTGGCCTTAAAAGTGAGCTGGTTTCCAAGCACCAAAAATACCTTTTTTTTTGGGGGGGGGGGTGTCCTTCTTAACTTTGAATGCTTTATAACTGACCAATCATCACACAAGGACTACCTGTAATAAATTCTCAAAGATTAATAACCAAGTGCTCTGCATTTAAAGCAGAGGCTTCACCATCAACCAAAGACTTCATTTCGAATGCCATTATCTAGAGTCAATTCTGGATTCTATAGACCAGTGATGAAAGAAATGTCCTTCTGGGTTCGGCTCCAAGTGGGGAAAAAGACACTGGAGACATGGAGGCTGCTTGGAAAGATGGTTTATTGGTGGACAGGACTACATGGCTTGAGCCCTGAACAGAAAAGGTGACAACATGCTTCAATGTTGGAGAAGAGAGATGCTGAGTCCCTGGTTTTATCCCCCTCTGGTCTTTGATCTTGAGCTTGTATTCTGATTGGCTGTCAGACTCCCATGGGGCCATGCATTTTGAATCCAGGTTTGGTTGAGTTCTCAGATGCCATGTGGCGAGTTGGGTAACGTGCCAATATTGTCATGCCTTAATCCCATCCCCCTGGAGCTGAAGTGCAGAACTCTTTATTATGTAAAGGGACTAGCTTGGCTTTCTTAATGGCCCATTGACAAAGTGGGTGGGGGCAGGAAGCTGCAGGGAACTACTCTGTCTTTTGAAAACATGTTTCTTCCT